GTTAGCTCTGGGTGAGGATTTTGTGGGGGTGGAGTGGGTCATGGTGGGACAGGTTGACGTGGTGCACGCGCCCGGGCTCACCTAAGCCGCACCATATCCGCCCCACATTTGGTCTGGATATCAATAGGAGGACCATAATCCCTTTGATTTCGTGTAAGCAACAAGATGTTTTGGCATGTATTTGCCTCTCTCCATGAGTCAAAGCCATAATTTGCTAGTGTCAATCCTACAATATATGAAATTTTGGAGGTTGTTTCAAAACTGTCATCAAAAGGATGAACTCCCATCGTATTTACAGTCACTATACAGGACAAAATGAGGTTGAAAGGAACTGATGATTACACCGGCATTTCAAGTGTCCATCAAAAGGATGAAAACTTAGTCTTGCCGCCACCACCATGGTTTCGCCATTACATCGGCTATTACATGATAGGGAACCTCATGCTCGGCAAGTCTAAGGTTTGGCCACCCTACGGCTCATGACGCAGGTGCGGGCTGCACGCACAAGCCCATCCCTTCCCGGCGGTCTCATTGCCTCGCGATCCGCAAAGTAGTTGGATCTCACATGAGGGCATGGTAAGTTTTCATTTTTAATCTCTGAAAATTATAATTTTGCATATGAAACATACATTTTTCTAGCTCATTCTTATCAGGCAAGGTTGAAACATTAAGCGATTATTTTGTCGGCCGCAAGTACTAAATTTTCTATTTTGTCGATCGCTCGTCCTAAGTTTAAAAATTTGAAACCTCAGTATTTTTTAAAAAATTCATCAAAACATATTCAAAATGGATCTTATTTGAAAGCCTTCTTCATGAGAAATATGAATATGAAAACAGAACATAATTTAAACTTTTCGTTGAAAAGATATGAAAGATTAAAAATCAAAAGCCAAAAGAAAAAAAGGACTCGATGCCCCCGTACCTGGATGCCACAAATCCTCTCCATTATGCCGAAAATTCTCTCCCGTGTACATAATTTCTGGCATAGGTGCAGCCTACAAGGCAATGTTCCAGGGCTCTTACTTGAGCACTTGCCCCCAAACCCTCTGGAAGGCATTGGTAGAAAACCTGTCGCATGGGAGGGTTCTGACCAGGACAAGTTGCTTCGACTAGGACGGCAAGGGGGTGCGAGAACTAGGACGGCAAGGGGGGACAACTAGGACTACATAAATTTTGAACATTTTTGAGAACATGAACAAAACTCCAAAAACATTTTTTGAAGCGAGGAAGAAATTTCGAAATTCCAAACATTTTTGTAAATTGAGAACAATTTTTGAAAATGTGAACAAAATTTGGAATTTGGAACACCTTTTTTAATTGTAACCAAAAAGTACGAAGACAGGAACATTTTTTGAAATTGCGAACAAAATTTTTGCAATGTGAACATTATTTCAAAAATATGAATAAATTTTGACAACAAGATTTTTTTTTCAAAATTCTGAACAACATTTTAACTTAAAAAGAAAAGAAACAAATAAAGAAAACAAAAGAACAGAAAAAGAATGAAGAAAAGCCGAAAAAACCAGTAGAAGGAACAAAAGTTTTTTGGTAATTCCGTGAACTGGTTTTAAGTTTTGTCACTGCTGTGTGTTTTTATAGGTTTCGTGTTGTTGTTTGTCAGCTTCACCCAGTCAGTCGGGGTAGCTAGCGTGGCGTGTTCATGTGCAGAATGTACTAGGTTCGAGAGCAAGCTTGTTTTTGCCGTTTTTAATCTCGCGAGAAGGGAAACACCGCAAATGGGCCGGCCCAGGGTGAGCTGCGCCTGTGCTAAGGCGCGACAATTTGCCGCAATAAGCGGCGAATAGGAAATTCCGGACGAACCCTCGCTGAAGGGAGACCGAGATGGGCTGGCCCAGGAGCGCGGGAGGCCACAACCTCCTTTTTTTCTGTATGTTTTATGTTTTCTGTTTTCGTTTTTTGCTTTATTTTTCTAATTTTTTTATACTTTCATATATTTTAAATATATACATCACAAAACAACTCTACACAAAACAATTAAAAAATGTTGAACAGGTATTTGAAAAATGTTCAACAAGTATTTACGAAAATGTTAATTAACCTTCTGAAAAACCTTGAACGTGTATAGAAAAATTCTTGATCATGTATTAAAGAAATGATGAATTTTTTGATCATATATTTAAAACGTTAATCAAGAACTTGAAAAAAGTTGAAAAAGTACTTTCTAAATATTATCAAGCATTTGGGAAATATTAAATTTGCATAGATAAAATGTTGAACATGTGATAAAAGATGTTGATATTGCACTTGTAAAATCTTAATCAAGCATTTAAAAAATGGTACATGTGCATATAAAAATGTTGACCATGTGTTTTATTTTTTTAATCTTCTATTTTAAAATGTGTATAGAAAAACTGTTGACATGTATTAAACATGTTAATTGTGTATTTGAAAAAGTTTAAGAAAACATTTGAAAAATGTCAAAAATGTGTATGGAAAAAATGTTGACAATACATTAAAAACATGTTAAAATCGCATTTTAAAAATGTTAAACATGTATTTGAAAAATGTTCTAGACGTATATGAAAAATGTTGACTCAAATCTAAAGTATATTTTTAAAAATACTAATCTTGTATTTATGAAAAATGTTAAACAAGCATTTCTAAAATGTTGAAAATGTGTATAGAAAAATGTTCACCACGTATTAAAAATGTTAAACTCATACTTTAAAAAAGTTAACCGTGTATTTAAAAAGTGTTCTTGACATATATGAAAATTTTACAATGAAACCTAAAACAAGGAAAAGAAAAAACAATGAAAACTGAAAAAGAAAAGGAAGAAAAAAGGAAAAACCAAGTAAAGAAATGGAAAAAGAATGAAAAACAGTAAAAATCAATAAATAGACAAAGAATAACAAAAAAGATATTGAAAACCAAAAATAAACAAAAAACAAAAAAAAAGAAGGAAGTGAGTTAGAAATGAAAAACTAAAAAAAGCAATGAAAAGACACGAAGAAAAACACTAAAAAAACTAGAGAAGAACCAAATCAAAAAAGAAAAGAAAACATGAAAATATTTTTTTTTGGATAAAATCGAATAAAAATGAAGCAAAAAAAGAAAAGAAAAGAGAAACAACCATGTAAAACTGAGAAACCGGGAAAAAACTAGTGGAAATCTGGCTCGTTTTGTCTCAAGTAGGTCGCACCCTAGTACTATGTTTGGAACTCGATGCTAGCTCGCTGGCTAGCACTGCAGCCAATTATCGAGGACAAGGATCGAATCCTCTGCGATCTCCCTTTTTATTCGCTTATTACCATTCTAGTGTTCGTGAGTGGGCCGACCTAGTTGCCAGCGCGAGTCGCTATTTCGTTCAACGAGGGCAGATTCCTTCTCTCTTAAGGTGAGATATAGCTCCCGCGGATGTGCGTGCCCCCAATTTCTGTTTTGTGCCTTTAGTGCTCGTTATAAGCTATTGCGCAAACCGGCGCACAACCCTCCTCCGACTTTGCTCGCCCCATTTTTTAAATATTTTTCTGCAACCTTCAAAAATCGACGTATGTCAGATTCGAACTGTGATCCTCACGGTTCAACATCAAATGCGATAACCACCTAGGAGACCTCACCTACTAAGTTCATGTCCCTTTTTCTTCAAAGACTCCAGTTTTCCTTCTCTTTTGATTTTCTGGACACTTTTTTCCTTGGTTTTTTTAAGACAATTTATTTTTCCTGTTTCCTTTACCCTTTTTTTCAAATGCATGAAATTTTTAATAATCTGATTTTCTTTCAAACTCATGAATCTTTTTTAACTTCACAAACTTCTTTTCAAATTTTATGAACTCTATTTTCAATTTTTTTGCTAACTTTATAGTGAACATTTTACAAATTTCATGAACTTATTTCATATCAATGAAATTTTCAGTATTTTAGCAAAATAATACTAATAATTAAGATCTATGAACTTTTTTCCAATAACCGATAAACTGTTTTTGAATCCATGAACTTTTTATTTCATAACCGATGAACTGTTTTCAAGTCCTTGAACTTTTCTTTCAAATTGGGGAGCTTTAAAAAAAGGATGTTCTTTTTCTAAATTGATGAAGTTCTTTCAAATTTGAGGCCTATTTTTCCATAAAAGTATGTACTTTTTAAAATTCCAATTTTTTTTCTCAAATTCATGAAAAAATCATGAAGTTTATTAAATTCAGGTTTTTTTTCAAATTCTTGATTTTTGTTTCAAGTTTATGTTTTTTTAGAAAACCCTTTTTTTCATGAATGTGTAAAATTATTTGTTTCTTAAAAACAGGTATGTGTCTTTTTCCAGAACTAGCAGCTATTGATTTTTTTCCTAGATAGTGAAGAGCGACTGAGGTTTTTTTTTCATGGGGGAAATCAGCAAATGAGGTGGCTCGTGAGCAGGCGAGCGAAGCCGAGCGATTTTTTGAGCGATTATCCTAGTGGGCCCGGATATCCCAGTTTCTAAAACCAGCGCTGAAGGTGCTAATTTTGAGCACTCTGCATGACCTAATGTGGTCATTTTTTTGGGGGGTAATGTGATCAATTTTGATCAAAGGCTCATACCTATTCACACTATTGTCGTCATAGATTTGTTTTTGTATTTTTGCCCTGAAGTCTATGGGAATAATTCTTTGGCCAAACCTTTTTACCTGAGTACAATGGTTGATCATATTTGATTCCAAGTAAGATTCAATTATTTTTGACCTTTTCTCTATATTACTAAATTATTTGGCGCATATAGGGTGCGCGCGTAATTGGGGTCCCTTGTGTGTGTTGCTTCATTGTTGTGTTTTCTTCTTCGCCTCTGCCCCTGGCCATGGCAACGACAGTACAAGCATCACTGCCGGCTCAAGAAATTGAAACCCCAAACCGTTTGTGATGCTGTCACACATAAACTCAAAAAGACAAAAAAAAAAAGCATCACACACACACACACACATGGCAAGCCGCAAGCCAGCACAGTACACTTCATGCACACGTACCACCACACTAAAAAAGATAGAGACAGACCTAGAGCTCCATGTAATCTATACAATAGCATCAGTCACACGTTCGATTGCGACGGCCGCCCCAGCTGGTGTATCGGCTGGACGGCTTATGCCGGCGTGCGAGGCGAGCGCCCAGAGCATGGTGATGAACTCGCCGCCCTTGACTAGCAGTTTCTCGTGCCCCATTATACAACCATCGTCATTGGATGGCGCGACGTAGACGACGAGCTCCACCCAAAGATTTGCCAGCAGCTTCCACACCGCTTCGTCCCCAGAATCCTGGGCATTCTCGGCTTTATCCACCAGCTTGTGCGCTAACTCCGCGCCTCTTTTCACCACATCCCTTGGGCTGCTGCTCGGCTTCTTTGCGGCACCCATGATCTTGCTGTACCGGGTGTTGACACACGTCAAGAAGTAGCAGCGCCAGAACCCGAGAACGCCACTCAGCTCGAGCATCGTGTCCTTGAACACCAGCTCCGTGCTCTCCTGGTATTCGGGGAGCAGCTCCGGGTGGATGGCCACCAGGTAAGCGCAGTACTTGGACATGCTCTGAGCCTGAGCATGATCATCAGAGGTTGTGGAATGCCTCACCTCGAAGAGGCTGGTGGCGATGTGCCAAGTAAGAATAACCTCGGCGACGCTGTCACTGTCGCAGAAAGGCAAGAGATCCGCGTCGTCTGCAAGCGCGAGCCTGCCTCTGCTGAGTGTAAGTGAGGTGGGGTTGCCATGAAGATCATGTAACTTGTTGGAGAGGTACTCCATGATGGAAAGCTTCACCTGGTCCGGCACATGCATGCTTGGCAATGGTATGATGGGCAGCGTCACAGGGAGGGAGAAGGAGAAGGGAATTGCTAGCCAGCAAAACCTCACCACACAGAGCTGGTTGAAGCTAATGTGTGGGCGATGCATGATGCTTCGCATCCCCATGATGCCGCGGATGGCCCAGAGGAAGACGCGGCCAAGGCGCCCGTCGGGTTTCACAGCGTACTTGCACAAGAGTGAAACCATGAACCAGTCTGAGAGCACGAGGACGAGGAACTCCCAAACTTCCTCGTAGACAACCATGAGGAATAGGAGTGAGGTGATGGAGAAGTCGAAGAAGGAGAAGAAAACTAAGCGGGAAGTAAAGATTTTAGGTAGGCACCCCGTCATCATAGTGGTTATGCTGAAGAAAGTAAAGTAGTTGTCGCCTTTGATGCTGTCCACGGCGTAGCCGACGTCACCGTTGGTGCAGAGGACGATGAGGACGAGGCATAGGACAAACACGAGGAGCGGGAGCAACAAGTAGTTGGCGAGCAAGAAGAAGGGACTTGCGAGGACGACGGGGATGATGGGGTGGTAATACTCGGAGAGGAAGCTGAGCTCGTCCTTGGTCAGCCGGAACAAGGCCTCCGCCGTGCTCGTGCTCGTGCTCGTGCTTGCCCCTGAATCTGATGTCTCTTTTTCTATGTCGCTGCGCATGGCTTTGAAGATGACTTCTCGGTAGCTGCGGGCCTCCGCGGCGGTCGTTGCCGGCAGGCGCTCAAATCTCCGGCGCAGCAGCTTGAAGAGTGCAAAGGAGAGGCAGAGCTGCCTGAGACGTTTATCTCGGTCCAGGGAACAGATCTCAGGGAGCCCCCAGATCTTGCCCACGGTGGCTGGTGCGGCGTCGCCGGTTAGCCTGTAGCCACCCGGGCTGGCCTCAACGACCAGATTCTCTTCTTCCATCACTGCGTACTTGCATCCCTTGAGTAGCTCGTCTCCGTCCAAACTGTGGTGGCGGTGCTCCATCTCATCTTCTTCTAGCACTTGAGCCATGTAGGAGGTGATGAGCCGAGCGTTCTTGCCAACACCGTAGGCAAGGGAGCGTTTCCCGACCTCGGTGAAGACGATCCTCTGTACCAGCCTCGTGGCACAGAGAAGCCAGAGGATGCCCACCATGGACCGCTTGCCAGCATCATGCAGGTGGAAGAAGACGAAGCTCCCCAGCAAAAGGACACGCCCCACACGGTCCATGGTGCCGGAGTAACCCTGCATGTGGATCTCCTCGGCCTTCTTGCGGAGGAGCTCCACAAGGAGCATCCAGATGAGGATGAGCCGGGCTCGCAGGGGCAGCTCGTCGGTGAACTTGGAGCGGGCACCTCCGGTGGCGTTCCTGGCCTCGGAGAAGAGGTAGGACATGACGGGGAGGAAGAGGGAGAGCGCGGAGGTGATGAAGAGGCGGACCCTGGGGTCGAGGATGGCGCTGACGTCGGAGAGCCTGCTGAAGAGGTTGAGGTTGAAGAAGAGCGCTGCGAGGACGAACATGATGATGGAGGTGAGCAAGGTGGTGGTGTGGTTGAACTGGGCGATGTACGAGTCGGTGAGGTTGTAGAAAATGGTGTTTTTAAAATCGGTGTAGTCGTGTGCCGCGCAACTGTGCAAGATGTCATTACTGGTATTCAAGTGCAAGAAGCCCAACATCTTGATCGACTTGCATGCATGCGCTCTAGCTAGCTCAGCTCAGCTTAGCAGAATGGCTGGGCGGGCGCGCACATATAAGCAGATCAAGAAGTCTTTGACACGGTACAGTGCACATGAGAATGCAACTCCAACATACCGACCCAAACGGATGGCGATTTTATCCTATTTTATCAGTTTGGGTCGGCCCAACGGATACCCATGTCCGCTTCTGCGTTTGGGTCGGCGCATGCGCCCAACGCTGACCTGATCTATTTTTACGGCACGCGGAAAATAACTAGAACACAAATATTTTGAAAATGAAAAAACAGTGATGCCGGCCATAAAGGCCGGCGAGAGTCCACGCGTCCACATTTACATTAATTAAACATTAATTAAAACTAAACAACAAGGCGACGCGCTGCCCTAGGCGTCCTCTTCATCGTCGTCGGGAGACCCAAACAGACGGCGATGGACGAAATAGGTACCTGCGTTGGAGTTGCTCTAAGCTCGGCATTACATGTAGTTCTCTTGAGTGCCCCGTCCACATGAAAATGTTCTCTTCAGCGCTTGGCATCATAAGCTCACATGCATGCATTTTTGTAGTTCTTTACCACTTTTCTTTTACAGGAAAAAAGGACTTTAACTCAAGGGAGCGTAATTAAAGAAAAGCAAAAGACACTGACTGTGTACAGCCTTCGAAGCATTAGGAATCCAGCTATTTACGTCACAGATATATGTACAGCCTTCAAAACAATGTTATTTTAACGAGCAATTTTTCTTTGTGTATAGCAAATTGCACAAGAAAAAGACTGCTCACACCCAAGGAGTGCAATGCCTGGCTGTACCTTATGAAGTTCTAGACAAACATTTTTGGCGTTGGTACCTTGTTGAAGGCATTGCTCTGATATGCTCGAACTGGTTCGTCAACGTGAAAACTTAGAATCCATTGGTGGTTGGATCTAGTGATGGCGGCGTTTGAGCGTCGCTTCCTTTCTGAAGGGGTTGCTGTTGAAGAACCTCGTTATCTTTATGATGTCATGAGATGATTGGTGCGGATAATGTCCTAGTTGTACGTTGTCGATCATGGATTTGATATTTTTAGGGATTTTTTTCCTCGCTTAGGCATAGCTTTGGTCTTACACGACTTTGCTATTTGCCAATATGTTTTTGTGTGTGTGAGTTGGTTTTGGCTATGTGCATCCTGACTGTGCAGCGGCCGGATGTGTGCATATTGTGTTTGTATCCCATTGATGCTTCATTTGAGTTAATAAAATCCACCCTTGCTCGAAAAACGATATTTTCTCCTCGGATTTTTTTGCAACACCTTCTGTTTTTCATCTAACTAGAAAGCCATCATCTGTAGTTAAATTTATTATTGTGAACATAATAAAAGTGAATGCTGAAATAATTGGATGTTGTGCTAAAAAAAGTTTCAAACTAAATGAGATTTGATTGTTAGCACCATCACTCACATTATTAGAAACCAAACAAAAAAAATTGGGAATGCATAGTAAAAGCTAAAAAAACTATACATGAATTCTTATGGTGTTCTAGACATGTATATACAGGAAAAAAAATTTAGGAATGCATTGAGTAGAATCACTCTCTACCATACATTTTAGTTCAAAAATATCGACACAATATCCATAACAATACCATGGCATAATTAAGCAGGATTCCCTCCAGTTTATTTCTCCAAAACATTTATTTCTTAAATGTAAACTTGTGAGGTACATTGCGTTTTGAAGAATGACTCCATGGAAATAAGTAAGTAAATACACCTTATATTTTGCATTATTGGAATATTCTACCAAAGTGCTTGTATTTTACACACATGTGAACCTGTAAAGTGGGAGAAAATAAGACATTATAATTCAAGCGCCCTGTAGTTTCAACCAACATGCATGCTCTCAAACAAAAGAAAAACATCGAATCTCATAAAGTAGGAAAATCATACAAAGTAGATATAGAAGGTTATTAGTCCTAGACTCTTTGTGTAAAGAAAAAAAAGGAAGAGTAAAGTTATATAAATATTTTTTTCTTGGTCATCCACAATAAAATGTATCTCTAATTTAGAAAACCACCAGGATTTTCATTGATACAACATAAGCTAACTCAGGCGGATACGCATACATGTGACTCTAACATATGACAATGTTATTCGCAAAAAAAGAACATATGACAGTGTTTATCTGTGATAGAATCTTCTGCTTTCTTATGACTTATAATAGCATATCCTAGCCATCATTGTACAGATAGAAGGACAACGTAGCGAAAATCACGCCAGTCTAATATATTCTTGTGAGATGCATGTGGGACAAGAGTATTTTGACAACTCATTATGATAAATCAGTTAAGGTCATTAAACTCTTGTTTCTTCCTATTTTTAGCTCTGTAAAATGTATGTATCTTAATTCTATCCACAAAGTTGGTTGGCATATTAAAAATAAGATATATAATGCCAGTTAAAACCATATAAGTTAAGACTAGAAAATATGAACTTTGGAGATGAGTCGGTAGAAGAAGCCGTCCAAAGTTGTAGATTTTGCAGGTAGCAAACATAAGAGAGGAGTATGATTGAAGGAAATATTTTCCTCTTTTGAAACCTATAAAATATGTAAAACAGACAACCTCCCAAAGTACGCATTCGTCAAACCTTTTAAAGTTTGACTAAATTATGCAGAAGATAACATAATTGTGATACCAAATAAATACATTACGAAAACGTATTTCATGGTGGATGTATTTGTTGGGGAACGTTGCATGGGAAACAAAAATTTTCCTACGGTCACGAAGATCAATCTAGGAGATGAACATCTACGAGATGAGAGATTACATCTACATACCCTTATAGATCGCTAAGCAGAAGCGTTAAGAAATGCGGTTGATGTTGCCGAACATCTTCGCGATCCAATCACGATCCGTCCCGCGAACTCCAGATCCAAGTGCCGAACGGGCGGCACCTCCGCGTTTAACACACGTACGGCTTGATGACGCCTTCACCTCCTCGATCCAGCGAGCGATGGTGAAGTGGTAGCTCGAGTCCTCCGGCAGCAAGATGGCGTGATGGCGGTGGTGGTGGAGAAATCTCAGTAGGGCTTCGCCAAGCCTCACGGAGAAGAAGAAGGACTACGAGGGAGAGAGAGGGCAGTGCCGTGGCATAGATGGGTGCGGCTGCCCTCCCTCTTGTTGGAAATATGCCCTAGAGGCTATAATAAATTAGTTATTATTATATTTCCTTGTTCATAATAATCGTTTATTATCCATTCTATAATTGTATTAAAAGGAAACTCAGATACATGTGTGGGTACATAGACAACACCATGTCCCTAGTAAGCCTCTAGTTGACTAGCTCATTGATCAATAGATGGTTACGGTTTCCTGACCATGGACATTGGATGTCGTTGATAACGGGATCACATCATTAGGAGAATGATGTGATGGACAAGACCCAATCCTAAGCCTAGCACAAAGATCGTAGTTCGTATGCTAAAACTTTTCTAATGTCAAGTATCATTTCCTTAGACCATGAGATTGTGCAACTCCCGGATACCATAGGAATGCTTTGCGTGCACCAAACGTCACAACGTAACTGGGTGGCTATAAAGGTGCACTATGGGTGTCTCCGAAAGTGTCTGTTGGGTTGGCACGAATCGAGACTGGGATTTGTCACTCCGTGTAAACGGAGAGGTACCTCTGGGCCCACTCGGTAGGACATCATCATAATGTGCACAATGTGACCAAGGGGTTGATCACGGGATGGTGTGTTACGGAACGAGTAAAGAGACTTGCCGGTAACGAGATTGAACAAGGTATCGGCATATCGACGATCGAATCTCGGGCAAGTACAATACCACTAGACAAAGGGAATTATATACGGGATTGATCGAATCCTCGACATCGTGGTTCATCCGATGAGATCATCATGGAACATGTGGGATCCAACATGGGTATCCAGATCCCGTTGTTGGTTATTGATCGGAGAACGTCTCGGTCACGTCTGCATGGTTCCCGAACCTGTAGGGTCTACACACTTAAGGTTCGATGACGCTAGGGTTATAAAGGAAGTTTGTATGTGGTTGCCGAATGTTTTCCGGAGTCCCGGATGAGATCCCGGATGTCAAGAGGAGTTCCGGAATGGTCCGGAGGTAAAGATTTATATATGGGAAGTCCTGTTTTGGTCATCGGAAAAGTTTCAGCTTTTATCGGTAACGTACGAGGCAAAGGGGCAGCCCAACACACGAGGTTCTTCTCCTGTTGGCGCAGCCCTACCTCTCTTTCTCCTCATATCTCGCGGTGCTTGGCGAAGCCCTGCAGGATTGCCACGCTCCTCCACCACCACCACACCGTTGTGCTGCTGCCGGACGGAGTCTTCCTCAACCTCTCCTTCTCTCCTTGCTGGATCAAGGCATGGGAGACGTCACCGGGCTGTACGTGTGTTGAACGCGGAGGTGCCGTCCGTTTGGCACTAGGATCTCCGGTGATTTGGATCACGACGAGTACGAATCCTTCAACCCCGTTCTCTTGAACGCTTCCGCTTAGCGATCTACAAGGGTATGTAGATGCACTCTCCTTCCCCTCGTTGCTGGTTTCTTCATAGATAGATCTTGGTGACACGTAGGATTTTTTTTGAATTTCTGCTACGTTCCCCAATAGTGACATCATGAGCTAGGTCTATTGCGTAGATTCTTTGCACAAGTAGAACACAAAGTAGTTGTGGGCGTTGATTTTGTTCAACATGCTTACCGTTACTAGTCCAATCTTGATTCGGCGGCATTGTGGGATGAAGCGGCCCGGACCGACCTTACACGTACACTTACGTGAGACAGGTTCCACCGACTGACATGCACTTGTTGCATAAGGTGGCTAGCGGGTGCCAGTCTCTCCCACTTTACTCGGATCGGATTCGATGAAAAGGGTCCTTATGAAGGGTAAATAGCAATTGACATATCACGTTGTGGTTTTTGCGTAGGTAAGAAACGTTCTTGCTAGAAACCCATAGCAGCCACGTAAAACATGCA